GTGCCACTCTTATTGGGAAAATGGAGGTGGTGACAGAAAGGGAAAGAGGGAGAAAGCCTGAAGTCTGGAGCCAAAGAAAACAGTAGCCAAGATTTTTTGCCTTAGGGGAGAGGGGCTGATCACCTCCCCCTAAGAAACTCAGGTTCACTCTAAGCTTTTGGCCCTGGAGATCCCCACAGGGAGTGGTGGGTTTCCAACTTTCATTTCAGTCTGTCCTCACAAGTGTGCCTAGGAGAGGAGCTGGAGGAGGTAACGATCCCTTCCCAAAGCCTGAATTGGACAATCTTCAAAGTAGGATAATGTGTTTTTGACATAGGTGCCGTGACTTAGTTGGTTACAACCTCTACCTAGTAAAGAGTCTGGTACCAATCTCATGTGAGTCACACCTTACTAAATGAGCCTGGTTCCCTCTTGTGTCCTGGGAGTTCCCTGATGTTCCTGCCGCCCTTGCCCATATGATAGGCCAAATCATGGTTAGAAATTCCTTGCACAGCACCTTACTGTTCTCCAATTCATCGTGAAGTTAGAAAATGTGGGTTCTTAAGGGCTTGGAACAGTTGGCTTTACTCCTTACCTCTGTGCTGAATGCTCACCCTGCCTGCCTCCAGGGCAACTATTAGGCCTTGAAAAGGACCAGATAACTAGCAGAGGAGGACCATTTCCTCTGATGTTCATTTTTCAGCTGTATATTGGATCTCCTCTCTTTGATGTGTCTGCTCCTTTTTGTCCTTTCAGATTTCTAGACACACAAATCCTCAGTGCCCATTAAGAAGCTCCAGCCCCAATCCATCAAAGCAGCTTGGTAGTTGCTCCACCAGTTTCTGAAATTGGTGATTGACCCAATCCTTTCATTGATTGAACATTGGGGGAAGACCTTGGGACTCAAGAGGAACAGAACTGTAAAGCAACTAGCCTAGAGAGGTTGCAGAAAATCAATCTGACAACAGGTATAAGGATCCCCTCTCTCCCCATTTGAAGAGGGTGAGGTGCAAAAATGGAATTTGAATCTCTGAGCCAGAGGTCCTCAAACATTAGCATACTCAGAGATGCAGGAAGACAGGTTAAAAGACTGATTGCTGCTGCCTGCCCTCCCCCCCCCCC